ATGATATCTAATGGTAAATAAGAGCCACTGTAACTGATGAAGGCTCAATATAGAACTAGGATTGAAAAAAAAACAAAACTGTGCTTTTCTTTTTAAAACAATTATAGGTCTTCTGAGAGGAGCTGAGGAAATCTTCAGTCTTATTTAGGGACGGGGTACATTTTTAGTTTTGAGTAAAATTATTTGTTGTTTTGCTTTCAAGGTTCTAAGAAAAAGCAGTAGAATTCTAAATGTTGTTTCTGAGCAAGTTATAGGACTTTTAATACATTGAAGTGAGATATGGTGAAATTTGAAACTCCTCTTTAACCAGTACACCTGGATAAGCTGGACATGAGTTCCAGAAGTGTTTTGCTCAAAATCTGCTCTGAATCTTCTCTTCAAGTGTAAGAAGAATGTAAACGTATATTTTAATGTGCATACACATATATAAAATGTGTGCCTTTTCCATCCAAAACATGCATGTACTTCACATGGGGAAAAAAAAAAAAAAAGCAGTTGCTGATGCTGAAAGCTGCTCAGGAAGTAAATCTGAGAGTGCTCCAGTTTGGGACATCGTATCTGAAGGTGTCATGGCATGGAGCAGAGAGGAAAGCCTTCTTTACATTGCTCTAGTGCGGCCACTTCTGAAATGCAGCACTGCAGTTCGGACACCTCACTTCCAGAATGTCTGACAAGGTTGAACGGGGTGCTGCATGAGAACATAATTAAAGGCTGGCATGACCTTATTTACAAGGAGAGACTTAAACACGTACAGCTTGGTTAAGTTATGAAAAAAGGGTTTACTCTGTCAAAATGTTTGGAGAGCTGTAAAGCCTTAAAAGCACAGGGCTGACTAGGCACCTAAAGTAAAATTTCATGATTGATGGATGGCAGAAAGCTCCACTATGATGAGATATCTTAACTTGCAGACTGTTCTCCTTGGAGAGACAGAAAGCATCCTGTGGCATGGGGCTTTTGTAATGTGCCTGAAAGAGCACAGCAGCAAATATGGGTGTATATCCTTCCCTGTGGAAACACTCCTGCACTGGCCAAGGTTTAAAAGTGAGACAATATATCTTCTTCCAGACAAAAATGCTGCATAAGGGCAGAGCATAAGCAAAGCAGACTTGTAATGGCTTCAGTTGAGTCACTTTTCCATTTCAAAATGTTTAAAGAGAAGCTGTGATTAAAGGGCTGAATTTTGCTTATTTCTTCAACTTGGAATCAATCTGAATATGAGGAAATATGTCAGTTTTACATTAAATGAAAAATTCTGGATTCCTAGTTCTCATCAAACTGTTGACCCACACTTCATAAAAATTTCAGAACCTCAAGTTACACAGGATTGTTGAGAGTGGAAGGAGGATCCAAAGACTGTCTAGTCAAACTCCCTTGTTGAATAGATGGTTACAAACAGTAGGTAGCTCGAGGCTGTGTCCAGCTGGGTTTTGGATAGACCCCAGGTTGAAGACTCCACAAGCTCTCTGAATGACTTGTTCCAGTGTTTGACCTTCACAGTAAATAAATACATAAAATAAATTCTTACATTGAAGTGGAATTTCCTATATTTCAATTGGCACCTACCACCTCTTGCCCATTCACTGGGTACCACTGACTAGAGTCTGTCTTCTTTACTGCCTGCCATCAGGTATTTATACACATTGATGAGATTCACCCTGAGTCTTTCCTCCTTGAGGCTGAACAATCCTAGTTCTGTCAGCCTCTCCTCATATATCAGAAGCTCCCAGTCCTTAATCATCTTAGTTGCCCTTTTCTGGACTCATTCCCATATGTCCATGTCTTTACTGTACTGGGGAGCCCAGATTAGAGCACAGCACCCCAGATATGATATCTTCAGTGTGGGTTAGAAGGAAAAGCTCATTTCCCTTAACCTGCTGGCAATGTTCTTCATCACAGGAGGCTGCTGACTGCCACTGCTGCAAAGGTAACACTGCTGGGGACTTCTGGAGATGCAGAGCTCATTTCCAACCAGTTGACCCCAAGCATGTATTGGTGCAGGAATCACTTTCTTGAACTTATTGAGGTTCACGTTGACCCAATCTTTCAGCCTGGCAGAGTCTGTCTGAAAGTAGCACAACCTTCTGGTATATCAGCCATTCCTCCTCATTTTGTATCTTCTGCAAATTTGCTGAGGGTGCACTCTGCTCTGTAGTCTAGATCGTTAATGAAGAAATTGAATTTTATTGGTCCCTCTGGGGTACACCTCTAATGACTGGTCTACAGCTGGGCTTTGTGCCCACAAAGATCACAACCCTTTGGCCCCAGCATTTGAGTCACTTTTCAGTCTCACTTTCTACTTACTTAGCCTGTAGTTCATCATTTTGCCAATGAAGATGTTATGGAAGATGGTTTTAAAATGTTAGCTAAAGCCAAGATAAGCAATATCTCTTTTCTTTTATCATCTACTGAACTAATTATTTAATTGTAGAAGGCTATGAGGTTGGTCAGGTACAACTGCTCCTTCATAAATCCTTGCTGACTATGCCCAATCACTTTTTTTTTTGGTCCTTAATATGTTTGGAAATGGGTTCCTGGGTTCCAGAAATGTTTGCTCCATCACTTTCCTAGAAACTGAGGTAAGGCTGATGGGCCTTTAATTGCCCAAATCTCCTTCTTGTTCTTGAAGATTGAAGATAAGGGTGATGTTTGCAGAAATAGAAATTATCAGTATGAACTTAGTGCATAAATTTGCTTCCTTTTTTTTTTTTTTTTTTTTTTTCATTGGTTGGGGAAAGTTTGTCTCTTTCTTGGAATAAAACATTAGGGTATTTTAAAGCAATTTCCCGGACTGTAAGAAATGCTTCTATAGCCAAGCTTCAGCAAGTGCAAGGAAGTCAGTGACTGGGGACAGATCCTGCAAGCTGTAGTTGAGAGCAGGTAAAACTTGTGCTCAAGACTCTGACACTGCTGAAATAAGGATGTTTCGCTTCTTCCCTCCCATCAAGGACAGTTATCAGCAAGTAAGTGCCCACCACAGCTGTCCTGTGCATCTGCAGGTCACTGCTGCAGAGTGACACCAAAGGACTCCCTCCTTCAAACTGCTGGGCGGGAGGGGACTGCAGAACTGGCCCCTCATCAGCTTGTTCTCCCTGCCGCTTTTGTTCTCTGCCTTAATTCCCTTTTGAAGGGCTGATATTTTATTCAGCAGCCCCCGCTGTGCTGGAGCCCGTGACAGAAGTTTCTCAGAAGCACTCTGCCGACAAAATGCTAACAGCTGGGCTTTGAAACTCCAGGAGCGCCAGGCAGAGAGGTGATGGTGGCAGGGAGCAGAGAGGAGGGGGAGAGAGAGGGAGAGGGAAGAGGGGGGACAGGAAATGCACTATTTGTTAGGAATAATGAGGCAAAGATATGACAGAGGTTTTTATTACAAATAATAGACGGTGAACTTCAAACAACAGCAGTGAGTCATTAAAAAAAAAAAAAAAAAAAAAAAAAAACAGCAACAGAGTTAAATAAATGCCTAATTAGCCAGCACCATGAAGGTGGAATTTACAGCTCCAGAGATTCTTAAGGGAGAGTCAATAAATTCACAGATGTTTTTTTTTTTCCTTTTTTTTTTTTTTTCTCCCCTCCTTCCTTTCCCCTCAGGCACAGAAGAAAATGTGAATGAGCCCAGGGCTGTTGTAAAGGTTTTGGCGGGATTTCTCTCCTTGTTGGCACGAACTGCAGCCTGTGTCTCAGCAGAGACAGGGCTGCCCGATCTGCCCTCCCAAGGGAGCCAGGGTGATTTGTGAGTGGCAGGAAGGAAGGCTGTGTGTGTTTGGGATCAAATCTACGAGTAAGTGTCTCTGGTCCAAGGACAATTCCAAGAAAATGTAGGAAAATGTGTTGCAAGCCCTGCACGCACCTTTTGTGCAAGACCGCACGTGATATAGGACATCAGAATATGTTACTCCTGCTCTTCAGTTTTGCCAAGGTGTCTGTGAATTCTGCAGGTTTCTGTGGGGTAGGTTTGAGTTATCACAAGGTGAACTCTGATCTGTATGACTATGTAGAAGCACGATGTTGCTTGTGCATCTGTGCACAGAATGTGGCTTGTGGGTCCACTCTGCCATGCAGGGTTACAGTGGGGCTCATTTTAAAGATAACAACTTATACTTGTTATTACAGCACCAGTAGGATTCAATAATGATATATTTGCACAAGATACACCTTCTGTTCCCTTCCCTCCTCAGCATTCCCCATACTAAACCTGTGTGAAAATGTTCCTCAAGAAAGATTTTTTTTTTTTTTTATTTTTCCCCCAGGGCAAAAAAAAAATAAATGCAGTTTAGTTCTGAACTGATTCCAAGCTGTATTTCCCTAGGGTGTATTGCTTTCACAGATTCCCTTTCCAACACCCCTTTCTCCACTCTTTGTTAGGTTCAACCAAAGGCCTGCAAACCCATAAGGCAATGCAGTCAGTTTTGTCTGGTCAGTTGAGGCAGCACCCTGTGTGAGCTCTGTGCCTTGGAGTGTGTTATTGGAGCCGTAATCGGGCCAGGAAACAACCACACCGCTAATTCCTGTAAACAGCTGTGTTAGAGGGACATTATTGAAATGCCTTAAAATAGAACAACTTATATTACTTCAGGAAAACTAAATGCTTTGAATTTGAGATCATCAGAAATCTTTTTTTAATTAAAAAAAAGTCAACATTCAGTATCAGTATTTCCACTCCTTGTGAAAGAGAATAAATTTAATTTTTTCATCACCAGCTTATGATGGAAAAAAAAATCTTCAGGTTTCTCAAGAGATGAAAAATCTGAACCTCACTTGCTTTTTCTCTGCATTACACAGTGACTCCCCCCAAATTAACTACAGAACAGAATAATTTCCTTCCTCACTTCTAATCAAACTGAAGAAAAGCCAACTGCATGTGGTGGCATTTGATTTAAGGCAGCCAGGTCCGTGCTCCAAAGTGTCAAAGGCTAAAAACCCAAATCTGAGTGAAAGCACAATGTCTTTTGCCATAGGGTGTTGCGCACTCACCTAACCATGCTACCCTTGTCTTTAAACAGTGAAGAAGATGCCTACTGATGTGGATGAGGGCACATGCCACCGCCAACATCAAACCTACCATGTGAAAGCAAACAGACTTGGTCCTACGGGCAGTCATGGAGCCTGAACTAAAGGAGTGCACCCCCTTTTTCACTCCTACATCCAAAATTTTTATCCAAGACTGATTTTTGGCTGCACCTGCGAGAATATGGACTACAAGTGCAGCTGGGCACCCAGAGCTGGAGTGCACTACCATGAGAGAGAAGAACGACTCGAAAATGAGAAGAGGGAATGAAACTGTGAGGCACTTCCTACTCCCACAGCTAAAAGACAAATAGTTTCAAGAAGGAGCTTTTTCACAGATTATCTGCCATGATAAACACTTTTCAACAAAAAGGTAATGAGAAAAAGCAGTTCCTAACCCCGAGGGAAAAAAGAGAGAACAGAGATCACATCAGGCTATCCACATGGCACCAAATCAGGAATTGATGCTAATGACAAATGGACATGGGAGATAAAATCAGAGCTGTGCTTTGAAGCCTTGCTCTGAGAAGCCTGTGCCTACCTCTGATGGAGACCTGGAACTCTGTTTTCTCTTTACACCACAATAATGCATGTACAGCTTCTCTCTTCCAGTAAAACACTATCGAGCAGAACTGCATGCGAGCGCTGTGTGGGGTGGGTGTGTGAACATGTCTGTGTGTGGGAGAACATTTGTTTGCTTGTCTCTAAGGGTATGAGAGCCCCAAGTGCATCTCTGTACCTGTGGGAGGCATAGGGCTGGGCGTATCAACCCCTTTGCACCTGCTGCTAGGAGTTAATAGGATTAGTCTGAGGTTTTAGAAGAACTGCTGTTACAGATTTTGTATTAGCTGAACATGTGGGTTACACATGGCACCTCGCTCTGCCTTGTAGGGGGGTTGGTGGAAGAAATCGGTGACCAAGTGTACTGAGTTGTTGCTACAGGGTATTATCTTCAACACAGATGGCATTATTCTTGCAAGTGAAGCAACCAAGGGGAACGGGAATTGGATATTGAGGTCACAGAGGGAAACAGCATGAGGCACCACTTACATGCTGCGATCAAATATTAAGGGATACTAGGGTTTGACTCATGAGGTTTTAAAGTACTGCTCTGAAACCACCGCACTTCATCTATGCCTGGCTGGGACAGAGGTAGGGAGTGCTGTGGGAATTGTGGGATGGCCACAGGTGCACCCTGTTTATTGTCCTAGAAGTCATAGTTCCTCGAAGAATGACAGGAATGCCTACATGAATGTGGCACAGGGCTGGAGGTGTGCAGGTGAGGATAGCATGCTGTACTGGCAGCCAGGACTGTCTCAGGATATGTTCTGTGAAAGGTACATCCAACTGCAATACCCAAATATTCTGAAAAAAAGTCTCCTCTTGTAGTTCCTCACAGGGTACAAGAGAGACAGCCATGCTGGGAGGGATGGCAAGACTGATCTTAGTAGGCTTTCTCATCCAAGCTTGTAGCATGAGATCTTGGAGAGGTAGAGAAACAAAGCCAGATGCACCAGGCTGTGAAGTAATAGGGGACAAAACAATAAAAAAAACTTCCCTTAAGCCATTTCATGACGGGCAAATTGCTTTTGCTATGACAAGCCCACACTGCCTTCTCTGACCTAGCCTGATCTGTAACTCACTGCTGCGTGTATGTCCTGTGCTGCTGCAGACAGACTGAGCTCCTCTTTCTGCTGGCTACCAAATGTCTCACTAGGGGACTGTTGCAGAGGGCACCAGGAAAAAAAGGCTCAGAAAATTACAGGAGGTTTTGAAATAACCTTCTCCTTGGAGAAACTCTGACTCTCTGGACTGAGCTGGCATTGGTTGGACATAAAGCCATAAATCAGGCTCTGACTCCTTTTGAAAGCATTGTGTTTTTTTTTCCATCCCTGAATTTCCATTTTGTGAAAGTATCCAGGAGGGTTTTGCGTGATGAGCCAGCATAATGCTGTGGATATGCTCAAGAGCATGCTCCAGAAGAACACCTCTAAATGTTGTAAGTCAGCAGACCAGAACTGGCTCAGGGCTTGTTTGCTGCAAGGATGACATGGAGGGGCTTGGGGGAACAGACTCACCCTGGTGCAGCCAGAAACTTTCCTCCACCCTTTGCGTCTGCCTCGCTGACTCCATTTGGCCCCTGCTCAGGCTGTGAGCTGCACCCCTCTCTCATTTCCTCTTGCATCTGTGGGGGTTTTACCCAGCTGAGCTCCACCACCAGTGCTCTCTCACTCCCCTTCCTTAATGGGAAGGGTGAGAAACGGGATTATGAGGTCCATTCCCCAGGAGCAAACTGCTCCAGCACGGGTCCCCCAGACCCCCTGCTCCTGCGTGGGCTCCTCTCCATGGGCTGCAGCTCTGGCCCGGGGCCTGCTCCTGCAGGGGCTCTCCATGGGTCGCAGCCTCCTCCAGGCCACGTCCACCTGCTTTTCATTATCTCCCCATATAGAGTTCAAGGAGCACCATGCCAAAATGGACCAGAAGTCAGCATTTGCACTGGTGAGATTGTTTTTAAACTGCTGTAATTTGCCAGAAAACTGTTGTGAATTTGCAGAAAGCAGTAGCCTTTGGTTAATAACGAAAAGTAGAAGATGTGCATGAAAATAGAGGTATACAAAAGCGAATACACAGTCCTAGCTGCAAAAAAGTTTTCAAAATGGCTGCACTGACCCAGCTGGTGTGGGTTTGTATGTATAATTGCAGTGGTTCTCATGACACTTTCTCTTTCCAAAAGCTTTCTGGCAGAGACAACTTATCTGGCAAGAACAACAGTGTGAAATGAAGATAAATGAAGAATATGGGCACATGAATCCTAAGAAGTAGGCTGGGTCGGCCTTACTCAGAGGAAGGTTTTCAGGTACTGTTTTGTAGTATTACCTCAGATTTAAGAACAGCAATAGCAACACATGTTGTAACTCAATCAGTAGAGGAAGAGAGCAGCCCTGTGGTTGCTATATCAGTCTAGGGCTTATGAGAACCCAGCCTACATGTATGTCTTGCTTCTCCTATAAACCTGTGTATAACCTTGAAAAAGAAGAGATATCCTGTGCCTTCATTTCGGAGTCTCGACTTAAGCATGTTTTGACATGTGGCTTGGAGCATTTTCCCATTTTTGCAAGGATTGTTTGGTTCTGCTGTAGGTATTTTAATACCAGCATGGGTCAGTCACGTTCTGATTGCATTGGATTCACACTTCCACAAGCTGTGGTGCTCTTCCCCTTTGTCCAGGTGGACTTCACACAGGAGATGTCAAATTCTTCCCTGTCTTTGGAAAGCATTAAAAGTATTCATCTCTAATCTGATCAAGATGATGGCCCAATAATCAACAGGGCAAAGACATCTACCCACGCACAGACATTTTGGGGAGGGAAATCATCTTTGATCTCTTGAGTCAAATGATCCCTTCAAGGGAAGTTCAGTAAAATAAAATTCCACTTATTATCAAGCTATAAGTCATAGCAAAAGAAGAGACAAGTATAGATGAGTCACAGGTCATCGATTCCTTTCCTTCCTGTAAGGAGCTCTCTGAATATGTTAGAAAGAATATTTTAATAGTGTCAAATTTTCTGCAAAATTCATCTTATTCTTTAATTACCCTTAATTTTTATTTGTCTCCTCTGTGGTGGGTGTTTGTATATACAGTACTTTACATGTTGGATAAAATGTACAGAAATAATCATTATGTCTACTGACTTCTGTCAGACTAGTTTTTCTCCAAGAGCTCATTGCAAAACTTGTTTTATTTTTTTATTTTTATTTTTTCTGGTGGTAGCAGTTTTCTGAAGGAGGAAAATGAAACATTTGGTCTGAAACTCAGGATAGTTTGATGCTGCAGTGCTGCTCTAGGAAGTTGTACTTTGGGTGTTGCTGAAGTTGGGTTCCAAAAGATGAACTCTATTCCTGACTTTTTTTTTTGAAACTGATAATATATATCATGGGAGACAGAGGCTGAGCTTTACCTGTCTAGACTTTAAACTTCTACAGTTTAGATGTCTAGGTCTGAGTTTACCACCCTAGCTCCTCTGTGAAGAGCTGCTGTGATTGTCATTGCCAAAGGGCAGTTCCCTTCAGCCAGGCTGCTTGATGAAAGGAGCTAGGCCTTAGGCTCCCGTCCTCCTCTTTGAGGAAAAGAGGGACGTAAGCTTGTACAGGCATGGACAGAAAAGTCTTCCTGCAGAGACTAGTGGAGCCAGCAGTGTTATAGTGAAGGGATGAATGTTGTGGTATTCACCATAAGAATTCTTTTGTATTTACATGTTGTTTTTCATATTAGGATATTTTTGCCACATGTTGTTGCTTAAGAGGAAAGACTTTTACACTTAATCCTTGGGAGGCTACAAGAAGGATTAGATTCTTAATCAGGATTTAAAGAAAGAAGATCATTGGGCCCAAGAGGAGAATGTCTCTGTGGCTACAAGGATTGTGAAGATAATCAGACAGGTTATACAGTCCACTGACTATAGAAGACGCATCTGTGATAAATTTTGGTACTGACATAAAACCCTGTGATTTTGCAGTCCTGCTTAGAAGTGAAATCAACTTTGATGGGTAGTGGTGTCCGTATGAATTTTGAGACAGCCTGAACCACTCCTGGAGAAGTATATAGATGTTTTGCTCATCTTAATTGACTTTTTTCATTTTACTCTGAAACCTAAGCTTTAGTACTTTTCATAAAACTATTCCTCCAGTGTGTTTATTTCTCCCTTCCTCTGCCCAACATAGACAATTCTATTCCCTGCCTTGAGTTAGAACAATCACATCTTTCTTTCCCCTGCTGTCAAAGTTCTTAGGGAGGTTTTTGGTTTGCTGTTGGATTTTTCACCGTGCAGGTTTCCTTTCCATTCAACACAACAAGTTTCAGGCTGGATTGATGTTCCAGCAGATCCACGTTTTTCCTTGTGGTACATAACACAAGGACTCCCCATCCTAATCAAATGAAGTTAGATTTCCAATGTGACAAAGTCCATAGATTTGGGGGATTAGGTTTAGTGTTCTCTGAAAAATTATTGGTATTTTAATCATCTTGTTTAGCACACTAAAAGGCCATTTGCCTTCTCCAGGGCTGGGATAGGTGTAGCTCAGTGACGGTGTGCTGGAGTGGATGTTGTCTCCTTTGCCTGTCCATCTGAACATCTCTGCTTCCTTCAAGCACTCTTTGAAGAAAGAGATGATGGTCAAAATACAGGCTGCTCTATTCACATTTTTCATTGCTCATGCTTGCTTTGGTGGATATTACCTTTTAACCTCCAGAACTCAGGCGCTCATGTGGCTGCATGTATGCAGATTGCCAGGATAGCTCATGATTTTTACCTTTGCCTTCTAAACACTCTCTGCATCTGAAAATTTTTATGATTTGATGGCTGATAAGTTGCCTTTCAGATGGGTAGATGAGATATAACAGAGCTCTTCTTCCACGTCCTGAAAAAATTCTGCTAGTATAAATAGCTTACTTGTTGGGAGGTTAGCCAAAGAGGGGTGGGATAGAATGGGACACATACTGTGATTTTTCTTCCTTCTATGAATCCCTTCTCAATTTTAATTGCTGTTTTTTATAGGATAGGAAAGTAGTGAGGGAAAGAGAAATGGGTCAGTGGACAGAGAAACTAGTGTTGATATTGCTTGCAGACCTAAATATACAGCATCCCTTTACTCTTGCAGTTTGGCAGTCCGGTACCTTATGCTATAACAGAATTAACTTAATGCATCCACAAACATTTGGGAGAGAAAATATGTTGTCTGTTCTAACTTTCTTTGACTATAAGAAAATGGTAGTGTCCAACTAATCAGGCACCCTCAGATCCCAGTGTTGCTCAATCCTCATTACAAAAAGTAAGCTGATGACTTTGACCTTTTTAGTACCTTAATTTTAAAGACCTATTGCCAGCACTTAATACTTTTCATATGTAAGATTCAAAGTAGCTTAAAAAATTAGGGAAGTTGCAGCAATCCTTTATTACAGACAGACTCACTAAGAGAAATGATTTAACAAAGCCATTAACAGCCACAAGGCTTGCCTATTCTGTGTGTGCATGGAGTTAACATATCCTCCAGACTCTGCTTACCTCATCCAAAGTTACGAAGTAGCTCAATGAAAGTGCTTCATTAATAATGTTCTTCCCTCCAGCTTTCTGATGGCAGTACTCCCGACCTGAAATCCCATGATATACTGTTTTTCCCCTGTCTCTTCAAGGCATACAGGGTTATGCAGTCTGCATTTATCTGATGGCCTTTTCTGTGGTGCCTGAGTTATCCCTGTGTAATTGCTGGTCTAAAAAGAATAGCAATAAATAGCAATAGCAATAAATAGCAATAGCAATAAAACTTAATCTGGATCTTAGCCTTGAATTATGTCTGGATATGGGTACCAGTTTGGTTCATTACAGGGACAGGACCAGCTGTAAAGTCCAATTAAGACAGTGCACCCAAGTATCATCGGGGCTGACTCTGAGGCCCTCGGTTCAGGTCTGAGCCCAGTCTGTGCCTGTCAGTGAGGAGAGTTACCGACCCAGCACCACCTGAAGATCTCTGAGGAGCAGGGTTGCTTGTATCCATCAGCTTCTTCCTGAAACTGTCAGAAGTGGCTTCTGCAATGTTTCTACTTCACAGCCTGGTGAGTCCTGACCTGGGCAGAGCAGTCACTGATGAACCGAAAGAAGGCCATGTCAGAGATGTGGGGAGCTGAGTGTGCTGGTAGGATGCTCATTACAGTGATTGCCTGAGAGGATTCTTGGCATTTGACAGGATGTGCCCCGATAAATTCCCTGTCATTAACATATCCTGCTCCCTAGCTTTTCCTTCGTTGTATTTTGTATTTGGTAGTGTTCGATGCGATGCATAGGCACCTGAAGCAGTGGCTCGTGTGAGGTTTGAACCAGCAGAGATCAGAGCAGCATTTCAAAGTCTTTTCAGATTCCCTGTTGCAGCTTGTTCCATCTCCTCTGGACCTGCTTCCTGCCTGAAATGCTGGAAAGAAGTTCTCTGAAACTCTGATCGCACATTCTGTTTCCCCCAGTGGTGCCTAGTAGAAGAAATCTTGTCTCTTGGATATCCAACTCAAAAGCCAAAGTGAGAGAGAAAATAACAGTTGCTTTAAATAATGAACGAAAGTACCAGGGGATTTAATTCCCCCCACCTCCCTCCCTCCCCCCATGCAGACATTCTCTTCTTTAAAAACAATTTTCCAAAGTAAGCTTCATGCTGGATCGACAGCCCTGCAAAGCAGTGTTCTCTGTTCGCATACCAAATGGGAATAACTAATGCGTGGGAGTGCAGGCTTCCACTCAGCGCTAGCAGCGTGTCTTGGACTTAATATAAATAGAAAGTTGCATATTTGTGAAGGCCTCGGGTTATCTCCCTGGCCCATTCAGTGACAAAATCTGGTGATCTTCTGAGGAGTAAGGACAAGAGGAGAGATGGTCATTTATTCACTCATTTCTAAGGGGGCAATAAAAGATCAATAAATAATTTCGCTACAGTAACTAAAAAGAGTTTGCATGATGAAATGTATCTTGCTGCTTCTGTCTGTTGGCCTGCAATGTGTGTCCTCCAGGCAGAAAGCTGTGGATGTTGCTACAAATCTCCTTGAACCTGTTTTGCTTTTGAAATTGGCAGGTTGGAATTGATCATGAATTTGACACTGTTCAACTCATATTCTGTGTGTTTAGAAATGTGGAATGCTGCTACTTCGCCTTTTTTTGTTTCCTTCTGCACTTTCCTATAGCACTTTCTGTTTTCTGTCAGTCTGCAGTAGTGATTGGTCAGCAAACTCACAATATTGCTGCTTTCTTAATGACAGCAAGCAGGTAGGAGCTCCTGGTGTAAATACTTGCCTACAGAGCTTTAATTGCTGAAAGTTCT